AGCCCACTCCTCTTGAATCTTTGAGTATGTCATCTCTTGCATTCCAAAGTATGATTCCATCATATAAAAAGATATAAAAATATTAAATAAATAAATTAAACTCAAGCCAATTTGGATATTAACATGTATCCTGTTGACTTGATTTTTGGTACAAATATTTAATGTTTATTACTCAAAATAATTATTTATATATAGTAGAAGTTAGTGATAGTTGAATCTTGATTAATAAATGTTTGTCGCCTAACATTCTCTTTTTCAAGTTCCTTAGTGAGAAGGGAAAGGGGTGATGGTAGTTTAGAAGTTATATGAACTTTTAAAAGCTATGGGAGGTGTAAAGAGTATATAGGGAAGAAGGTGCAACCATGAACCAATAGCCTTCAAAATTTAAAGTTTAAATTCAATATTTCTAGTCTCTTTTTGACTTCACGTCACATTAGATATCACTCACGTTCAATTACCACGATGAAGGAGAACCTATCTTGAGTACGAGTGTGTTTAAGAATCATTCTCCATCCAAAATATTTTTAACTATTTTTTTTTTCAAGACAGTTCTTAAAATTTTTGCTTCACTTAATTTATTTTAAATTAATTTTAAATTAATATTTTAATTTGTGTAATACATAAATTAAATATTTATTATATATAACCAAAAATTTTAATAAAGAATATATATAAATAAATATTATATTTTAATATATAAATTATATTTAAAATTTATATAAACACATATTTTAAACATATAAATACGATAAATAATTTTTATTTATTGAAAATTTATTTTAAAAATAAAAAATAAATTATTTTTAATAAACACTAAATAAAAAATAAATTAGATAAAAATAAAAATTTCAAAAAACTATTTTGTAATCGACATAATATTAATTATTTGTCGCATGATTATCTAAGTTAGATGTATTTCGTTTAATTTTTTCCATGTGTAATAGTTAAACTATAGTTAGTGTAGTAATCTGTTGGGTCGTTACACTTAAATCAATTTTTTTTACCATAATTTAAGATGAAAATTCAACTAAAAAATTAATTTTGCACATAATATTATAAATATATTGATAGGAAGTTCATTTTTCTTTTGTAAAATGTATACTTTAATGATATTAAAATAGGACTAACTTTCTTAATAATTTTTTTTTTCCAAATACAATGCTTAAATTTGAGATATTGTTTTAAAATAAAATTAAGTTCGTATCACTTGAATACATCGCATGCATATATGTTAATGATAGAAATACACTTAATCTTACAAAGAAAGAAATTTAGTAGAAAAAATAAAATTTAAAGGTAAGATTTGAAAATTTAAAGTCTCCATATAAAAATAAACTTTAATATATTTTTATTACCCTTTTATTTTAAGAAATATAACTTTATTCAAATCACCTTCATGGATTTTTGGAATGCAATTAATTCGGAATACAATAATGCTTACGAAAAAAAATTGAATGATTTTCATTCTGAACCTAATTAGTTAAAAATATAATTCTCTTACCTTTAATTTTTTTATATAGAAATTTTCAATACCTTACTATCTAAATTGACTAAATTAATTTGTACGTGAAATCAATCTAAAATATCAAAGTTAACCATTTTTTTTACTTGTACTTGATAATTTAGTATTTTATGCTAAAAATAGTAAGTATTTCATATATTACACAATTTTTTAAATTGAAGTTGAAATATATTAAAAAAAAATTCAAAACATATAAGTGCTTTAATAAATGTAAGAAAGGAATATTAAAATTTTAAAAATAGAATGGAAATAATTAAGGATTTGAGCAGAAAAAATTAATGTAATTAAACTTGAGATTTGAAAATTTAAGAACTTTTGAAATAAATTTTAACATTTAAATTTCGAACGTGAAAGAAAATTTTCAAACAAATTAATGATTTGAGAATTTTATTTAATAATAATAAATAGTTATTAAGTAATAGTAGAATCACATAAAAAAGAATATATATATATATATATTATTTTTTTTACTCTAATTATAATTATAAGAAAACAATAGTAAGTTTTTAAAGTTTTTTCGGTTAAATTTCTTTTATACTCTTTATTTAATTTTATTTCTTATGCATTTTACTCATAACTAATATTAAATATAAAAATTACTTAAATTAAGATGTATATTTAAAATAAACTTTGAATTTATAATAAAATTAATTAATTATATTAATTTTTTTTTCATCTTAATAATTTATATTATATTACTTATAATTAAGATGGAAAGTGATATAAACTTATTATATAAGAATTTATACAACAGATTCGTAATTAGTAAGCAATATGCAGTAATTAGTTTAATATTTTCCTATAAATATTAAATTTATGGCTTTAATTAGAAAATACTAAAATTTATAAAGATTTTTTTTATATTGTTAACAAATTAAGAATTGTCATATATAATAAAATATTAAATTTATAATGATTACTTTAAAAATCTTTTGTCCTATTTTCTGATTGGTTGGCAAAAAAAAGAAAACTCCTTCCAATAACGATACATTAAAATTAAACTCAAATTTCAAAAAATTCAACACATGCAGTAATATAATAAAATGTGTATTTTATTCATACATAAATTGTTAACTTAATGCGTCAATTTTCTAAAAAAAAGAAGAAAATATTCAATTACACTATTTTATTATTTAAATAAGAGGAGAATATGAATTTGAAAGAAAAAAAAATGACTTAGTTAACTCAACTTAACTTGGATATATTAAACTTAGTTTGGATAAGTTTCCAAGTTAATTTCATTAGGGAAGTAGAAAAGCCACTCTAATCATTTTATATTTGAGTTACAATTAAGAAACTGATACATGATTCAACTTAATGATAAATAATATTTTATTATTATTATTATTAATTTTTTTTATTTTCACAATATAAAATTAAGATAGAAATACAAACTCATACATCTAGACCCTTTGTCCCAAAATTTTTGACCCTAAGATAAATATTTTATCACTCTATTTATGTGTGTTTCTGTCATCTTTTGTCAATGGTCACACCAGGTCAGAGAACTGTTCATTACTTTATCACTCTCTTTTCTACTTGCTTCCATTCTATCTTTAATTGTTTCTCTCCCAAAGTTTTCATTCTCTATTGCTTTTGGACATGAATGAGAGGTTCTATTAGAAAAATGTTGTTTCCCCAATTTGAAATAGTCAGCCTTGACAAATCAAAACCCTAAATTCATTCTATAACCATTCTCCTTCTTTTAGACATGCATGGATTTCTATTAGAAAATATTGTTTCCTCTATTCAAAGCAGTCGTTCTTATCACAACAAAATCCTAAATTAAATCGTATCTGAGCTCTCGATTTTCTTCTGTTACAAGTATATTCACATTTATTATTTGAAATTAATGATTTAGACTTGATATTAATCTTTATATCTGAAATTTTTTGAGTTATAGCATTTCACATCTTATCTCAATAATTTTTTTTTCACAATTTTGTTTTGGTAGGTTTGATTTTTGGCATGATTAGTTTAATTTGTACACTTTTTTCCAAGTTTTCCCCAAATTTTTTTTAATACATTTTCCCTCCCACCTTTTTTTGGTTGGATAATGTGAAATCCATGTCAAATCGATTCGATTCGAACCAAGTCGAGTCAAAATAAAAAATAAAAAAATAAACGCACAAACCCAAACCGATTCGGTGAAACATCATTCCCAGTTCGATTTGCCTACAAATCCGACAAACCTACATGTGTTCACCACTAATTTTTATTGATACAAAATTATTTAATAATATTTTGATTTATCATTTTATTTTAGAAAAGTTGCTTAGTGAGAATCTCGTTTTGTCTTCGTTAGTTAAATCAACGAAGGGGTATATTTTTCAACCATCAAGAGTGAGTTTGATATTTTAAAATAAAATAAATAGATGTAATTTTTTTTTCATATAAATTATTCATCAAAAATATACAAAGCCATTCCTATAATTAGTTTTTTTTTTACCTCGATTTAAGATGAAAATGAAATGAAAAAAATTAATTTTTTGTTTAATATTATAAATATATTGATATAGAAAGTACGTTCATTTTTATTAAATGTATATACTTTAATGATATTAAAATAGGACTAACTCTCTCATTAGATTCTTTTCTCCAAAGTTTATATCTGAGATATTGTTTTAAAACAAAATGAAGTATGTATCACTTAATGAAATTTAGTAGAAAAAGGAAAAAAGATTAAATGTTAGTTTTAAAACTTTTAAGTCTTGATATAAAAATAAATTTTAATATATATTTTTATTACCTTTTTATTTTAAAAAATTCTCAAACTAGAAAACAACTTATTTTTAATATATAAAAAGTGATATTTTAAAAATTATAAATAGTTATGATAACTACTCGCAATAGGGTGGTAAAATGGATTTTGACTCGCGGGCCGACCCGTTGGCCCGTCAAAATTTGGTGGGTCAGGTTTATCATTCCAACCGGCCAACCGACCAACCTGTTAAGCCTGCTAACCCCTCCATAATTTTTTTTATACTTTTTTTCTAATGTAATAAAGGTTGACCCACCGACCCATCAACCCGCTAGTCCGCATTTAAGTGGGACGGGCCAATAGTTTTAGCCCGCTTTTCAATAGCGACCTGACCCATTTTTGACGGGCCATCGGTGAGTCGGGGCAAAACGGACCGGACTGACCTGTTTTGCCACCTCTAATTAATTAAAAAAATAATAAAATAGAATATCTATACTAATATATAAATAAGATACTTTTAATAACTATTTTTAATTTTTATTTTTACATGAACTATTTTATCTTTTATTTAATTTTTAATAACTACTTTTTTATGAGTAACTTTTTATTTTATTTTATTTATTTATTTTTTAATATAATGTAGACATAAAATATTTTTTTCCTGCTAGTATTTGTAAGTTTTTTGGTCAAAAATATATTTGTAAGTTAAATATTAATTAACATAGGGAAAAAAAAAAATCCGTACGTTATATGTCCCGGGTATAACATATATGGTGCCCACACTCCGATTCACCCGATTAACTCTTGTCACTGTCGCGCGTTCTTCTGTAACCGAGCCCAAAAAAATCACACAAACTGCCGGCGCATATTAGCACCATCGCTGACCTTTACGATCACCACGTGCTATCGTGCGCCTCTATCTCTCTCTCTTCCATGAAAGGCCATTGCTTCCATGGGAACCAAATCGCTGAAGAAGAGACTGCGTGAGTCGCAGAACCCTCCCATGGCCGCCGCGGCTCCTCCGCGGCGTAAGCCTCGCTCCTACGCCACGGCTTCCGTGCTTCTCTCCGCTTCCCTCGTCGTCTCCGTCATCCTCGTCTTGGTCCTTTCGTCGAGCAAGTTGCACGCGTTCCATCGCGCGGTTTTGGTTTCCTATGATACGGCCACCGTAGTTAACGTGTTCCCTCACGATCCACGAGCCTTCACCCAGGTTAACTCCTGTTTTTTTTAGTTGTTTGTGTTAATGTGCAATTTGATTCGTGAAAGTGATTACTTGTGTAGCTTTAGTCCCTGGGAGATTTTGTCTATGTAAATTAGTGCTTTGAGTGATGAACTCTTGATAGTTTATACTAATTAGTTTAATTTTGAGGCACTCATTGTGTAGAAATTGCGGGACTGTGATCAATTAGAAATTACTGTAGATCAAGGTTTTAAGAAACAGTCTGCCACTGTTAGGATTGAATTGCAAGGTATTGGACTTGAGTCCTATGTTTGAAATATGGGATTCTAGTGTGAGGTTTACTAGGCCTTGGGTTCTTCAACTACAACAGCTGGCTTTGTGGTCTGGTTCTCCCCAAGTTCTTATTGGCAACTGTGATTTTGGCCAAGTTAAGGTTTTTGGGGGTGTTTGTGGCACAGCTGTAGCTGCATTTGTTTGCAATTTATCGTAAAAGAAATTCTTGGAACACACTATTTACTTCTTTGAGCACACTCACTCTAATCGGTTGAAATTTATTGGAAAACATAATTTGGTGGGTTCCACATCCTATTTAATATCTCTTGATTTTGTGGCTTTCAATGAATTTTAACTAATAAGAGAATGTGTTAAGAGTAGTGTGTTTCTAGCACTTCTCTTTCTTGTGATATCAAGAAACGCAAAGAAGCTTGCTAACTTGCTCTAGATACACTTTTGAAGTGATAGTTACAAAGGTTAACAATTTTATCATACTTGACAATCTATGATTGGATGACAGGATAAAAATTATGGTGTATTCTAACTATATTCTAATTAAACTAATTTATATAGATGCCCACTTTTGATGACTAAAGCAACGCATTAGGACCATATTGTATATGAGTGCTCTTGACAAATGCCCCAAGGATGTTTAAAATAATAAATTGTAAGATTTTAGTAGAAGTTACAGTGAGATGTTTTGGAAACACTTATAAAAACTGTCATGTCAGCATTTTGTATACATCATCCATTGTGTATTAACTCTCTCTCTCTCTCTCTCTCTCTCTTGTTATGGTCATCTCATATTTGTGCATATAACATGTTTTCGGTTACACTATTTTTTTTTATGGGGTTCAAGAAAGATCTGTTTTTCGGTTACTGTTTTTTATGGTTGGAAATGTGTATATTATTTTTCATGTATTTAATTTTGTTTATTCATTTATCATTTTTGGGTGTTTATTATTTTTTTTGTTTTTTTTTATTCTTTTGGAATAGTCAGTGAGAGGTGCCAGAGTGTGGACAGATAATTTTGATTATGTGCTACTGCCATGTGCTTGATGGTTGATGATAAGTTAGTCAAAACTTGAAACGCTATCAGCCTCTCTTTTATTTCGCACAAATTTTTTTTTGATCAAATGAGGTGAGGTGTTAGCCTGATTCTCAGTTAAATGTGAGAAGGATATATAAGAAACTGTGGCCCAATATTTTTTCTTTTGTATTTTATCTTCAATCTGTCATTTCTTAGGCAGGTAGCTTATTTGGGGAGTGAACAGTGAGATGTCTAGGTATTTTAGTTGAGAAAAGTTGTAAATTTGATGGAAAACAATGAAGACCGGGCTAAGTATCTTATTGTGAAAATCATGTATTTGTTCTATGAATAAGGGTCACAAAAAAGAAATTGTTTTTACAAGGACTCTTGAATGGATTTCTTAACATAAGTTCCTTAAAGGGCTACTTGTAACTCTAGTGGATTTCCAGTTGAATTTGAAAGAAGCTGTTGGCTTCTGCACAAAACAAAGATAAGAAATGATATTTAAAAAATACTAAATTTAATGTTACTATGTTAGTTGCAAGAACTTTCTTTGACGCTCTAGCATAAGTAGCACATAGTGTTCTTGGTAATTGTGAATATTGGCTTTATGCCAAGGAGAGATTTTGTGAAATTATTAGTTAATGTGAGAACTGTTCTATTAATGAAATGCAAGATGTTGATTTGGGTATTATCTGATTTGTCACTTATGGAAAAGAAAAATGACTATGTCTCTTGTTTTTATTTCAGGGCCTTGTTTATTATAGAAATGACACCTTATTTGAGTCAACGGGTCTTTATGGGCAGGTAATATTACTCATCTTTTCCTCCATTTCCTTCTTCTTTCTCTCGGTTTTTCTTGATGCTTTTTATTTCATTTTCCCTGTTCACAATTCACACTTGGAGTGGGATGAGGAATTTTATGTATTCTTGAATTGTAAATTAGTCACCTGCCATCATTTACCCCACTTTGTTCATTTTTTTTGTTCAAAAAATTGTTATAAAATTTACTTGAGGATTGATCTTGGTATACTGCTATAGTTTGCTACCTTGTGACATTGGTGGTCATGGGTTTCCACAGAAGAAATAAACTTCTTGCTGTTAGGACAAGGCTTTGCATATATGATCCTCCCCATAGCCTACAATGATAGGAGACTTGTGCCCTGGCACACCCTGTAATGATCATAGTATTTGGTTGGGAATGTATAGTGTTGGTATACATTGAACATCTGACCTTCCCTTGTGCATGTTAGAGAGGTTAGTGAACTAGAGCATCTTTTTGCTTTTGTTATTTGCTAATCTTTCGTCAGATTCTGATTTTAGAATTAGGACTCATTCTCCTATTAGAAACATATTTGATGTTTCTCATTTATAAACACTTCTGGAAATCCATAGCTCCCTTTTGGTCAAATCCTTTGTTTGGACTGTTGTAACAGGATTAACGCTAATGACTTGCTACTGAAGCACATACCTCTCTGTGGTGGTTGTGTTCTCAATTCTCATAATTAGAACTCAGATAATAGTAGTAGAAGTGAATGGAAACAATGCTAGAAAACTTCTTTTATTAAATTAATATTGAATGAATAGTGATTATAGCTGTCATGTAATTTTCTAAATAATGCCCCCTCCTTCTCTAGACACCCTATTATATATCTAATTATTAGCCATAACTAATTATATTAACCAATTACGTAAACGGTCTAAATAATCATAATAATGATAATAATAATACCCCGTGTTCCTTATTCCTCCTAGAATAAACCTTCCACACCCTATCCACCTCCCTAACAGTGGTCTTCCATTATGTGTATAATGTGCTGTTTTGCTTTGGAAACTGTGGCTCATCTCTTTTTGCCCTGCATTTCTGTGAGTTTTCATTGGAATAAGCTGTTTGGAATAAGACCAGTACAGTACAGTTCTCATCTATTGGATAAGACCAGTGTTTTCATGTTTTATTTATTGTAAAATTTATATAAGTCATGATTAGATTTATTTTCTAATTACATTCTAATCCTTGTTTTCCTAGACGTACAGCTATTATTTTCCAATGTGAAATATTGCATTTAACGTTTTGATTATTTGTTGTTTCAGTCATCTGTCCGTAAAGTTGCTCTTCGTACTGGGAAGGTACAGATAGACCCGTTTCTTAAACTCTTCCATTCCATGTACTTGTCTAATACTTGGTTCATTTAGATTTCCAATTACTATACATTTTTATGAATAACAACTGACGGAAAACAGGCTATGCTGTTATTCTTGGTTCTGCAGTTGGCTTGTTCATGTAAATAACAATAATTTCAACAATGGATATTCTTAGTGTTCTTTCTGGATTAAATTACTGGATTTTTGCTCAATTTTCCATTCTTTTTTTGGACACAATGTTTCCTTCACTGAAATGATGCCTAATTTTAACTATGAATCCTTCTTTGAATAAAGGAAAAATTATACAAGGTTTTATTTAGTAGTTTTTCTTATTATGAAGGTGCTTTTATGTGTTTGTAGAAGGCAACACGGAATTCCTTTTTAGTTACATTTTTCACATTATTCATGCTTGTCCCCAGGGCATCTACTATTGCTGCACCTGCAAAATTTATGAATGTGGGTACAATTTAGATGGATGTGAGTTTCAGGAAATATTTCACTTGTTTGTAACTTATAGAAAGAAGGATAGACATATACTCTAGTAACTTTGCCTGTTTGATTGGATGTACACAATAATTATGTTATGTTGATAAGGTACATTACTAGAGGGAACAGGTAAGAGGGATTAATGAAAGTAATGCATAGATATGCATGCTTTGGCTTCAGAGTAGTGTGCCTGTGACATAATAAACAAAATTGTGGTGGTAATAGATACATGCCTTTCTGATGAAGAAAGGATCTTTGACGTATCAATTAGGATAGAAATATATACATTATTATTCATTTCGATGTAGCATGCTCATTATGTCTCATTGAGTGTTGGTCCTGTTGGACGCTATGAAAGTTGTCGCAAATTTCGTGTATTTATAATTTGTGCTACATGCAGGTTGAGGATGTGCTTAAGATGGATAATTCTTTATTTGGGGAAGGTTTAACTCTCCTCAATGATAGGTATGAAAGGAAAATTATGTTGCATTTTACATTAATTTTTAAGCAGAATACTAAACTTAAAACAATGGTTGTTGGCTGTTGCCAATGATTTAGGAAATGGAAGAGAGGGAAAAACGTCATCATACTTTAAGAATTTTTTTCTTGGTGAATATAATCTTCTATTACTGTTTCCTTTAGAAAGACAGGACTTTGTTTTTATTAATCTTTTGAGATTTCCTTTTTTCTTCTAAATATATCTTCTATTGCATCAATAAAAGCATGGAATAGATGTACTGTTCAATTTCTTTAATCCACATGGGAATTGGGACCCTTTTTGAGCCACATATTGAACTGTGTTGAAATTAAGGACCGAATGATACTGTTTCTTATTGCTTGCTACTAAATGTTGAAAGCTGATAGCATTCTCATTAGCACTACTAGGTCCTTCAGAAGTAAAAGAGAATGTCTGTGCATTGCTTTCATGTTGATTTGTATGATAATAATGAATAAGTGACTTTCATGTTATCTTTTAGTTTCTATTGACTTTGAAAGTAATCAGCAATACTTCTAAAAGTCTAAAAGACCATGTATTTTGAGGTAGACATGAAAACTGCATAGTGACTACGTGGTTTTCTCATTTCTGCAGTGTTTCAATTTTTTCTCATTGCTTCTGGATGTTGTAGGGGATGTTTACTTTAATTATACCCATATATAAATATAATTTATTCTTTTTGGCTGAAATATTTGTGGTTGATACATTATTCATCAAGTTATTTTCACTCTGGCATTTGATGTTTGAGTTTATTCTAATACATTTAACCATTGCACCTTTTGTAGGCTGATCCAAGTAACTTGGTTGCAGAATGCTGGTTTCATATACGATAAAAATTTAAGCAAAGTTTGTTGCTTTACCTTCTCCATCGTGTAATCTTTTGTCTTTGTCTGCTTTGAGTAATTCCTACTGTTTTGATTCAACGAGACTCTGAAGGAAAATGAAAGCATAATCAAACTATAGGAGATTCACAATCTTTTTTTCCTATTCTGTATTATTATATAAATAATTCTCTTCAAAGTTTATACTGTATAGTTACTAGTCATTTCAATTTTCATTTTCAATTTTATAAATATCTAAACTAATTTGCTTCTTGGCAGCTATAATTTGAAATTTTTTAAACATTGATGCTAGAAGTTAAAGATTGCATGGTAATATAAGTGATTTCAGCTGATATAACTGATTAAAAATTATCTGAGGTAGATAATGTACGTTCATACAAGCTGGTTGGCTGTAATCTAAACAGTTTGTTATACTAGAGTTGGTCCACATGGTGTTGTTTACATGGAATAGTTTTGCAGATATAAATCTTGTTTTTGCTGTTTAATAATATTTCCTGAGATGCTGGCAATGATGTGGGGTTAATGCCCCAAAGTGCCTGTTAACATAGCTAGCCAGATCTCAAACAGTTTACTTTTACATTTTTTTTGTAGATAGGGGAATTTAATCATGATATGAAAGATGGTTGGGGTTTGGCAACTGATGGAAAAGTCTTGTTTGGAAGTGATGGCAGTTCAAGATTATATCAAATTGATCCTCAAACCTTTAAAGGTTTGCCTGTCCAATGAAGTTATATTCTTTTCACAATTTATGTGCAAAGCCCTTTTCCCAAACCTTTTTGTGTCCAGCTTTCAAAGTTGATAATACTTGGTGTATGCTTTGCATTTTCATGGAACTTACATTACCCTCTTTGCTTTAGCTATATCAAAACAAGTTGTCTACTATAAGGGTCATCAAGTTCACAATCTCAATGAATTGGAATATATAAATGGTGAAGTTTGGGCAAATGTTTTTATGGTATGTCTTTGTGTGATCAATTATAATTTTAGTTGGAGACAATGTCTTTTTTCCCTAAAATTCTTATTTCACCCATTTATGCATAGTGTCTATAGCCCAAGATTCTCTATTAGGCTTGATTTTGTTTAAGGTTGATATTTCTTTGTGTAGACTGACTGCATTGTAAGAATCTCCCCCAATGATGGCAGTGTTATTGGATGGATTCTCCTACCAAATTTAAGGTGCGACTTCTTTTTCCTTCTCAATAGGAAAACTAATTAATTAGTGATAATGCGTCTGTTAATGATATGATAAGTGAAGTAAATCCCAAGTTGGTTCTCAAAGATTAGAAGAGATCAAATTGGTCTTCGATGATTTTCATTCATTGCATCTATTTGGTGCTAGTAAATGGTAACTTTTGATTATTTTGATGCTAAAAGGTTATCATTCGAGGGCCACATTGATTAATAATTTTTTGAGGAGCAAATCGGGTTTACTCTAGTAATATGTATCTTTGTCCATTTGTTGCTTAAAGTTACATCTAATCTATCATATGCAGGAAAGAACTTATAGAAGCTGGGAATAATGTAAGGAGCCTGAACCTTTTGATATCAAGAGATAAGATTTTTTGTATTCTTATTCAGTGTATATATATGTTGCATTTTTACGGAGCAGCTATAATTTAAGAACAGTATAAAAACTAGTTGCTTTAAACTGTGAGTGTGAATCATGTTCTCTATTTCCCGTTTCAAGATCAAATAGTCATTAGAAGTTGTTGTTGAACTTAATGTGTTTTAATATTTTAGGGTATTGATGTTTTGAATGGAATAGCATGGGATGCTGAGCAGAAACGGATATTTGGTAAGATCCGGTCTTATAATTTATTAAATCGTCAATGAAATTTGTTATTCAACCATATTATTTCCATTCCACCCATTCGTGACTTTTTCCTTTTAATTTTTTAACTAATACTATTAGGCATGACATATGATAATAGGTATCGAAATGGAAGTGATAGTGTGTCTGAATTTCAATTGAAAAAGTTCCAAACCATGGTTTTGTAAATTAAGAGAGAAATGTTATTAATATATTCTTTTAAATCCAACGTTTTCTACTTTTGGAAATTTATTCATAGTCACGAAATTCATATGGGTCTTATTCTCTAATGGATGTCACTAATGATTTTGTGACTACCAATAAGTTTGTCAATAACAGAGAATGTTTTGAAAAGAATATTAGCGTGTATTGCTAACACTTTTCATTCTTTCCCATCTAAAATTCAAACAATCACTATATGTTTTACTTGAAAATGTTAAAAATATTATCAATAAGAATACTAATTTCAAGAATCTATAATATCTATATATTTAATAAATGAGATATATTTTTTGGGTGTATACTTTTAACAACTGTTTTATTTTTACAAGTTATAACTACTTCTAAATCATTCTCTCCCACTATTTATTTTTTATTTAGTTTTTGTTTTTTCTCTCTCTCTCTCTCTCTCTGTCTCTCTCTCTCTCTTCTACATGTTAAATTTTACTTCTGAAACCTTAGATTTTCTAAGTAACTAGTTATTTCATTATCACTGTTTATCAAATTTATTACTTTTTTTTTTATTTTTATTTTTTATTTTTATCTATCTTAAGTACTTAAAGTCTCCCTCTCTTGCATAAACATTGTATTTATTATTATTTTTTGTCTCTATCTTCTCTAATATATACTTCAAAAATGTGAAAAAAATACATTTTAAAAATTTATTTAGGTTTACATTTTACTTTAGCAATTAGTCATTAATAAAGTACTTAATCAAATAAATGTTGGTCGTAATACTAAATCAAATAAATAACGTTACTAAATCTAGCAATTTATATGTATAACATTACTAAATTCATATTTTAATGGCTAAAAATACAATTTAAGAATTTAATTAGATATTTATCTTACGTTAGATAAATATTGGTCATATAATTAGTAGTTGGGATAGTGTTCGAGTAGACGTACAAGTTAGATCTTCATTATTGTGTCGTAATCTTTCCTACTTATAATCTTAAATAATTTTTAAATATACTTATACACTTGATGTATGTAAATAAAAAATTGTTGATAATTTTCATCTACCGCTGAAGTGATTCAATTTAATTTATAAACTAGAGTTTAAAAATTGTTACAACTTTTCTTTTTAAAACATGGCATAAATATTCATTTTAAAGCATTTACCTTGACACATTTTTTTTTTGTTTTTGTTTTTGAGTAGGTTAATTTTCCATCATAATTCTATAAATATGTTCTTATGTTATGTTTTATTAGTTTTTATAATAATATTTTCATCATATATATATATATAGAGAGAGAGTTAATCACCTATACACTGTCAGTGTAAATTTTTTTTACACTGGCAATTAATTATATCTTTCAGTTGTGCTATGTCACTATAAATACATTTACTTTTAACAGTGACATGGCACAATTAAAAGATATAATTGGTTGTTAGTGTAAAAAAACTTTACACTGACAGTGTATAGGTGATTAACTCATATATATATATGTATGTATGTATGTATGTATGTATGTATGTATGTATGTATGTATGTATGTATGTATGTATGTATGTATATAATTTAACGTTTTATATTTTTAATTATGTTAGTTGGCCAAATATTTTGATCCTTTTCGTCTAGGAATTCCCCAATAATGATCAATAACTGTAACTCGGTTTCCCCTTTTCCATTTTAAGTTTAACAAATATTTTGCTTGCAGTGACTGGAAAACTGTGGCCAAAGCTGTATGAAATCAAGGTTTCTCCTATAAAGCAACCAATTGAAGAAGGGATCATTGAAGAGCTTTGCTTGCGTAAGCCTTTCAAATTTCATGATTGATTATCCGTTTTTGCTGTAGTTTTTGAAATCTACTTGGAAGAATGCGCTGCCGAACTGAGATTTGAAATGGTATAATTACATGATCACTTTGAAGATATATTCAGCAGGGAGAATGCTACCTTCAGGTTGCCACTACCTTTGTAGTATCATTCTTTCTTGTAGTTCAAGAATTATAATTAAAGTAACACACTAAGGAAGATGTCAATCAATTTTTATGTTATGTATGATAGAGTTGATGTTGTAAGTAACCGGAAAGTGCAAGGGCACAGGCAATTTGAGATATAATGTGTTGCAAACAAAAGAATAGAAATACAACAAAAAGAAAGAATAAAATAATGAATGGCTTTAGTGGTTCAAGTTGAGGTGTCATCACAAGTTTATTGATTACATTGTATTATGTAATATGTATAATGGTGGTGGAGTTCTTAGGAAAGTCCGTTTATGAATATTTAGTTGATGAAGTTTTTTCTTTATTATTTTTTATATATAAAGATTGAATTCGGTATAGAGGGATTAACAACTAGAGTTAATTACCAATATACTATTATGTAAAAAAAAATTACATTGGTAACTAATCAGATCTTTTAAATTATTTTATTTTATTTTTATTTCATTAAATAAGTAATTAACATGATATTATTAAAAGATCTGATTGACGGCCAGTGTAAATTTTTTTTACACGGATAGTATATAGGTGATTAACTCTAACAACTGTTCAGTATTCACGCATATACCTGTTGAGCTTAACTCATTTTTTTTCATTACCAATGAGCTAAACTCTTTAACAAAGTAGGAGTATTTTCCTAGACTCTTTAATAAGCATTTTACGTTTTGTTCTTTCAAAATGGGACTTCCAAAATGAAATAATTAAATTTTTAATTGTCTTTGTAATCTTCGAAACACGAAAGTTGCTATTGTTATTTTATAATTTTATCATCACATGTTCAAAAATTTAAGAATTTTAATTGTCTTTGTCATTTTATAATTATTAAAAAAAACTTTAATAAAATGGCAGATTACCAGATTTCAGTATTTTTCTTGTTAACAATATAACCAGTAAAAAGAGACAACTAAACATTGAGAGTTTTAATGGGAAAAAAGTAATACGAAGATACGTATAGGATGTAGCTTTTTTTTTTATTATTATTTTTTATTTTTATATTTGGGTACAACATGGTATATTTAATTTAGAAGTTATAAGAATATCAATGAATTTCATCACGAGTTATATTAGTTTAATTGTGTATTTGGATTATTATATTATAAATAAATAATTAAGGATTTGTTTTTGTAAATTATTAATCTGTTGAAATAATCATTACCATAGCCAACAAGATTAATGTTGCATCCATGCCTCATGATAAATTTCTTCTTAAGTTATTTTACATAAATCAAAATAAGTTAATAAAATTAATAAATAAATGAAAGATAATAATAATTTTACAAATATAACTTTATAATTAATCTTCTAACTAAATGATGTAATACAATAACCATTTTCTACATAATATTATTAGGAGTGTAAATAAAAAATAGATAACTAATACTATATTAAAAAATTAATATAACATTTATTTTAAGATAATATTTTAATACTACATTTATAATGAGATGGAAGAAATATTTATTTTACCACTTTATTAATACAATGGATTTTTTTTTCTTTTAATATGACTGTCACTTTTCATAATTCACTTCTTCATTTTATCCCTCTATTATAAGAATAGCTTTGATGTTTTTCGTGCGTCACGGAGTCCATTATTGCTTGATTGTTTAGATGTTAAAGGAATAGAAGAAAATAAAAGGAGATATAAGATAAAAATATTGGATATTATTTTTGGTTTTTTTTAGGTTCGTTCATGGAGTATCCACCGCTGACAGCAGTGACTAATCTCCTCGCTACGTTGGAGGCACTTCAAAGGGTGGGATAGTTGACCCCAAGATTCAAACTCCTGACCCCAAGATGTTAACGCGGCTGCATACACAAGACAAGATTCAAACTCCTGACCTTACTTAAGCGTGGATCAACCCCTACCGCTGAACCACACGCTTGGGGGTTGGATATTATTTTTGGTTTGATAGAAAGTGAAAGAGAAATTATTTTTGTGAGGTTAAAAAATTCTTTCCAAATTTGAATAAAATAAGATAAAAAAAATCCTTTATTATTATTATTATATTATTATTATTTATTTATTTATTTATTATTATTCATTCATTCGTACTCTTTTTTTTTTTTTTTTAATTTGTTTCTTGTTTTATTTGTAATTTGTTTGAAAGCACCTGTAATGAATTCCCCGAAGCAAGCAAACGTGAAAGTGAAGGCAAGTTTGCTTTGAAGTGGGAGTTAGAAGTTAGAACACGATTTTGATGCAACCCACTGCTCCCCCAAACACATGCACTATAGTCACATAACTTTCCAACTTATGAAGGTTACATTAATGTTTCATCACCTCTCTCTCTCTCTCTCTCTCTCTATCTCTCTCTCAGCACTCCCAATTCCCATGGCCACTTTCGCGCTTCCTTCCGCTTCTCTCATTGTCTCCCTCGTCGCTCTCTTGCTCCTTTCGTCAAACGAGTTGCACGCCTTCCAACGCAACGTTTCCTTCGAGACGGTAACCGTCGTCAACGTGTTCCCACATGATCCACAAGCCTTCACCGAGGTCAACCTTTTTTTTTTTCGTTGTTTGAGTTAATGCACAATCTGATTCGTGAAAGCCATGTGTGTACCATGGGAGCGTTTGTTTTTTCAGAGATGAACTTGATAGGGTAACGTTATCAATAAGTTAACTTAATAGATGCCAAAGCAACACATTCAAGACCAAATTGAATGCGACTCGTTTTAATTTGTAGAATGTTTTTATTCTGGCTATGTTTCACTAACATTTTCTACAAGCTTCTAGCTTTTTTTTTTTTTTTTTACTAGCTGAAAAAGCTTGTTTGATTTTCGTTAATATTATTTGATAAACAAACTTATTTCAGTAATTCGTAGGAGTTTTTCACACGTGTAGGTTTGCGTTTAACTTCTTATATTTTATTCTCTATTTAGCCTTAAAATATGTATTGATATATACATATATATATATATTCTATTAAGCTTGTTTGACCTCATTATTACTAATTGGTAAATAAGCTTCGTTTAGTAACTTGTTGGAGTTGTTGATACGTTACTTTATGCAGTGGTTGTTAAATGCTACAATCTTTTTTTCATAAGAATTACAAAGGTTAGAACACAGGAAGTATACTATTCCAACTTTTCACCACTCAGTCAGTGGGACTATATTTTAACTTATTATATTTTATTCCCTCTTTGTTTTCTAAAATTTATTATTTTTTACCCAAGGTAAAGTTTTATTATTGTTTTTGTTTTTTTTTTCCTCTTGATAACGTAGGGTTTTATTTTTTTTTGGTATTATTTTTTTAATTTTTTTTACACTACATTGTTTTTTTTAACCATCTATATTTTTTCATGCTTTTAGTCTTATTTATTTATTTATCTTTTTCGGCAGTTTTATTTATTTATTTATTTTTTTGGAAGAGTGAGATTGTCAGAGAGTGGACCCATAATTTTGATACAGTGCTAAATGTTGTTAGACTCTTTTTTCCACGCAATTTTTTATGATCAAATGAGTTAAGGTGTTTGCCTGATCTGAGTTAACACGTGTGAGGGATACACAAGAACCATGCACATATTTTTCTCTCGTATTTTTTTTTACTAATAATTTTTCAGGCAGCTTGCTCATTTAATGTGTAAATCTGTTAGGATATAAGGAAAAGGGGAGTTTTAAAATATTTTTTTATCACTAAAAAAGATTACAATGATGTCAATGAGGATCAAATTGAGGTCTTTATGCATATCTATTGAGACTTCTCAATCACTAGACAAATCCTAGTGGTTCAATTTAAAATATTATTTAGTTAGTTAGAGGAGTTTATTAGATATAAATAGGAAAGGATAGCAGGATAGAGTGGGAAAGTGCTAATTTGTAAATTGAGCATTGGCTCTTTATGAAAGGGAAACCATTTGGACCAGAGATTTCTCTCCTATTCTGTTTTTTTTTCTTTTTCATCCTATTAAATAAAATTGTCTTTTATTTCTCATTATTAATTCTTGGTTCCTAACAAAATTCAATGAGGAAGACTGAGTATTTAGTTCAGACAAGTAAGAAATTTGATGAAAAAGACGGAACTTTGGGTCAAAATCTTGTGAAAATCATCTATTCATTCTAAGAAAAAGGGTTACAAAAATGCAGCCTTCACAAGGACTCTTGAAGTGATTTTTTAAGTTCCTTAAGGGATACTTGCAGGACCGGAGGGTTTCCAATTAATTGTTTTTTTGTACAATGCAGGCAATAAAATTAAAATTTAAGATCTTGTGCATATTACCTAAATCCTCCACTACTAGGCTATCCTATTAGTTTTCTCCGGCTGAATTTGAAAGAAATTGCTGGCTTCTGCACAAAATGAAGATAAGAAATGATATAAAAGCAATACTAAATCAGTGTTGGATGTGAGAACTTTCTTGGATGCTCTAACATGAGTAGCCCATAGTCTTCCCGGTAATTTTGAATATTGGACTTTCTGCTGAGGAGAGAATTTTGTGAAATTATTAGTTAAAGTGTGCACTGCTACATTAATGAAATGCCATGATGTTGATTTGGGCATTGTTTGATTTGTCACCTATGGAGGAGAAAAATAGCTTTGTGTCTTGTTTTGATTTCAGGGCCTTCTTTATCATGGAAATGACACTTTATTTGAGTCAACTGGTCTTTATGGGGAGGTAATAGTACTCATCTTTTCCTACATTGCATTTTTCTTTATCTTTTTAACTGATTTTTATTACTTTTTTGCCTTACATTTTCCTTTTCACATTTTGAGTGGGATGAGAAATTGTGTGAATTCTTGAATTGTAAATCAGTCACTTGACATTCTTTACCTCAATTTGTTCATTTTGTTTAGAAAATAAAATTTAGTTGAGGGTCATTCTTGAAGCACTGGTATAGATTGCTACCTTGTGATCTGGTGATTAAGGGATTCCACAGAAGAAACAAACTTGTCACTGTTGGCACAAGGTTGTGCACATCTGAGTCTCCCCATACCCTTCAATAATAGAAGTTGTGCACTGGACCACCCTTTAATGCTCATAGCATAGGATTTGGCCGCGAATGGATAATGTTGTCATGAATTTAACATCTGATCCTCCTTTGTGCATGTTAAAGAGGTTTATGAGTTAGAGTCTCTTTTGCTCTTGTAAATTGCTCATCTTTATTCAGATTGTGAAAATAGAACTGGGACTCTTGACTCCTTGGGTGTTTGCTCATGTAAGTCTTCTTTTTAGTTTCTCGTTCTCCTACTAGAGACGTATTTGATATTTCTTATGTATAAACCAATTTGCAAATCCAAATCTCCTCTAAGGTCAAATCCTTTGTCTGGGATAAGACCAGTACAGTACAGGTGTCATCTATTGGATAAGTTCAATGTGTTTTCAAGCTTTTATTGATTGTAAAACTTGTTTAATGAATCATGATTAGCTTTATTTTCTAATTACATTCTAATCTTTGTTTTCCTAGAGATACAATTAATATTGTTTTTGGTGTGAAATAGTGAGAAATGCGTGCAACAAACTTTCTATTATTGGCTAAAATTTATTGGAAATCACAAAATTTTGTGGGTTCCACTTCACATTTAATGAACTCCACTCATGATTTTACATACAGAGTGTGTTAAAAAAAGTGCGTCACTAGCACTCATAAAATACTGCATTTAACCTTTTAGTTATTTGTTGTTTCAGTCATCTGTCCGTAAAGTTGCTCTTCAAACCGGGAAGGTACAGACAGACCCCTAATTCTTGAACTCTTCCATGTGCTTGTTCTAATACTTACTACTTGGTTCATTTGGATTTCCAATTACTCTATATTTTTATGAGTAACTGGTGGAGAACAAGCTACGCTATTAATTCTGTCCAGTGTGACAGGTTCTGCTATTATGTGTGTACTTTTCATTAAGCTTATAGACAGTTTCTCTAACAAGAATTAATTATATACTCGATAGACTTTTGTACATTATGAGCAATTTTAGGCAACAAAGTCAGGTCAAGTCAATGGGTCATTACTAGGCTGCTTGCTACAGTTGGTTTGTTTTCATGTAATAACATTAATTTCAATGATGGATCTTATTCAATTTTTCCACAATTTTTCCATTCTTTTTACTAGATACAAATACAATGTTTCCTTCACTGAAATGATGCCTAGTTTGAATATGAAACCTACTTTGAATGAAGGAAATTTACATGGATGGGAGGTACGTTGGTTTTTGTTGTGCTTTAATATGTTTGGAGAAAGTCACAAGGGTTTCTTTATTAGTTAAATTTTTCCCATTATTCATGCTTGTCCCTAGTCTTAGTATCTACTACTACTGCGGCTCCCACAAAATATATGATTGTGGATATACTATTTTGATGGGTGATAGTTGCAGGAAATATTGCATTTGTTTATAACTTTATAAGAAGAAGAATAAACACATTCTTATGTTAACTTAGCTGCAGGTTTGACTTTTACATGGTAAATTGGTAATTAAGTGGATAAGGACATAAGGTACATTACTAGATATCAGAGAGATAAATTAAAGGAATATAAAGATATGCATGACTTGGCTTCAGAGTAGATGACAATGACTATGAATCAATAGTTTTAAATGTGTCTTGTGCCTTTGAAAAAAAAAAATAAAATTATGGTAATAATAATAGATCTTGCCTTTTTGATAAAGAAAGGAACTTTGACGTTTCAATTAGTATAGAAATATTTATGTTATTGTCCATATCAATATCCATGCTTATTATGTTTGGTTGAGTATTGGACATTATTGAAGTTATTGTAAATTTTGTAATTATTTGTGCCACATGCAGGTTGAGAATATTCAGAAGATGGATAATTTTTTATTTGGGGAAGGTTTAACTCTCCTCAATAATAGGTGTGGAAGACAAATTATGTTGTATTTTGTTTTTCTTTTATGTTGCTTAATAAACCTGAACAATGGTTCTACTGCCAATGAATACGAAGATGGAAAAGATAGGAAGGGATAAATGTCCACATATTTTAAGAATTGTTTCTAGGTGAATGTAATCTTTTATTACTGTTTCTTTTAGAAAGACAGGACCCTGTCTTTAATCATTTGACGCCCTTCTTCTACCTTCTAAATAACTTCTATTACACCAACAACAATAAAGTCTTATCCCATTAGGTGAGGTTGGTTACATGGATCACATGATGCCATTCAGCTCGGTTAAAGGCCAAATCTTCAGATATTTTATTCACCACAATATCCCTCTTCTAGATAACTTCCATTGCATCAATAAAACACAAAATAAAAGTACTTTCCAATTTCTCTAAACCTCTTGGAAATTGAGACCTCTTTGGAGTCACATTGAATTGTGTAGAAATTAAGGGGTGAAAGATACAGTTTCTTATTGCTTGCTACTAAATGTCAAAAGCTGATCTGTGACACTTAATATTTGGATTTATTCTAATACATTTATCCATTGCACTTTATGTAGGCTGTTTCAAGTAACTTGGTTGCATAAAGATGGTTTCATATATGACCCAAACAATTTAAGCGAAGTTTGTTGCCTTACCTTCACACTTGTATCTTTTGTTGTTGTCATGGTTTGAGTAATTTGTAGTGATTTGATTCCACGAGACTATAAAGGAAAGTGACAGCATACTCAAACTATAGGAGATTTGCTTTTCTATTCTGCATAGTTATATAAATATATTCTCCTAAAGGTTATATTGTATAATCTTACATTCTTACTTGATGTTTTCATTTTATTAATATCTTAAACTAATTTGCTTCCTGGCAGCTACAATTTGAAGATTTTTGAACATTGATGCTAGAAGTTAAAAGTTTGATTACATGGTAATTTAAGTGAGTTCAGCTGATATATCTGATTAAAAACTATCTGAGGTAGAGAATGCTTGTTATAACTTGGACGGTTGGTTTGGTGGCATTAAAACAAGTTGAATGCTCATACAAGCTGGTTGCATGTAATCTTAGCAATGTGTTATGTACTATAGATGGTCCCCATGGTGGTGTTTACATGGAATGGTTTTGCAGACATCAATCTTGTTTTTGTTGTTTCATACTTTTTCCTGAGATGCTATCAGTGATGTGAGGTGAATGCCCCAAAGTGCCTGTTAACATAACTAGCCAGCTCTCAAACAGCTAACTTTTACAATTTCTGTAGATAGGGACATTTAATCATGATATGAAAGATGGTTGGGGTCTCGCAACTGATGGAAAAGTCTTGTTTGGAAGTGATGGCAGTTCAACATTGTATCAAATTGATCCTCAAACATTTAAAGGTTTGTCTTTCCAATGAAGTTTTATTCCTTATATCATTTATGTGCAAACCCCTTTCTCAAGCCTTTTTTGTTTCCGGTTTTCAAACTTGACAATACTTTGTTTAGTTTATCTGTGTTTACCTTGCATTTTCATGGAATTTACATTGCCCTCTTTGCTGTAGCTATATCAAATCAAGTTGTCTACTATAAGGGTCATCAAGTATACAATCTCAACGAATTGGAATATATAAATGGTGAAATTTGGGCAAATGTTTTACCGGTATGTCTTTGTGTGATCAGTTATGATTTTAGTTAGAGAAAACATATCTCTTTCCCAAAAATTCAAATTTTAGCCTTGTATGCATGATGTCTGTGGCCCAAGGTTCTCTGTTTGGCTGAGTTTTGTTTGAGATTGATATTTCTTTGTGTAGACTGACTGCATTGTAAGAATCTCTCCCAATGATGGCAGTGTTCTTGGCTGGATTCTCCTCCAAAATTTAAGGTAGTGCTTTTGAGTATGTTAATGATATAATCTAATAGATGAAATTAATCCCAAGTTGGTTCTTGAAGATTAGCAAACATCAAATTGGTCCTTGAAGTTTATCAGTCATCACATGGTATCAATTTTGTGCTAGTAAACGGTAACTTATATTATTTTGATTCCAAAATATTATCATTCAAGGACCACATTGATTGATAATATTCAATGATAATATTTTGAATACCACTTTGGGGGTTTCCTCTAATAATAAGTATTTTTGTCCGTTTGTGGCTTAAATTTACATTTAATCTAATATCATATGCAGGGAAGAACTTATGGAAGCTGGGATGATTAGTGTAAGGAGCCTGAACCTTTTGATATCTAGAGATAAGATTTTTGCCCTGTGTTTTCAGTGTATATATTTTGCATTTCTATAGTGATGCTATGATTTATAAACAAGATATATAAACAAAATGCCTTAAACCTTGAATCATCTCCCTTTCCTTTTTTGGTATCAAATAGTCATTCGAAGTTGTTGTTGAACTTATGTGTAGATCTTTTATATTTTAGGATAATAATGTTTTGAATGGGATAGCATGGGATGGTGAGCAGAAGCGTATTTTTGGTAAGTTCCGGTCTTATAATTTATTGAATCGTCAATTTCAAATTTGTTATTCAAGCATTTTATTTCCATTGCACCCATCCGAGACTTTTTCTTTTTTGAACTATTACTATTAGGCACATGATATCCGATGATAATACTTAATAGGGGTCAAAATGGAAGTAATTTGACTGCAAAATCCAACGAGTTAAGGTGTGCTTGGATTACAGTTTTGTTGAACGTAAACCGCATTATTTTTTCAATTCATAAGTGTTTGTTACTTCTTTATTTGATGCTTTAAAAAGTGTAAATGGACGTTTGGTGCCTTTGAAACAGCAATTCAAACACATTTAGTGCGTTTAGATTTTTGTTTAAAAAGTTCCAAACCATGGTTTTGTAGTAACCAATTGAAAGAGAAATGTTATCTGACACTTGTTCAGACTGTAAGTCCGCTGTCATCGTTAGGGTTACCTTAGGGTTAACGCATCTGAGGTATTGTCCGCTTTGGCGCTCGTTGGGCTGTCACGGTTTCCTACCGTAAGTCCGCTGTCATCGTTAGGGTCATCGCATCTTGTTCGCTTTGGCGCTCGTTGGGCTATCACGGTTTTGTCCTTGAAAAGGCGCCTCGGTGGGTTAAGGAGGAAGGGTGTTTATAAACTACCCTTAGCCTCGACCCCTAAGCGATGTGGGACTTTTAGGCATACCGGAACAACACTCATTTAAATCCATCTTTTGTCACGAGCTGAAATTTACACTAAGAAATTCCACTCGTGATTTTGTAATTACTAATAAAAATCAGTCAAGAAAGAGCAGAGAACGTGTTGGAAAAAGTATTAGAATGTGAACTCTTCCCAACAAACAGAATTGAAATCCAAACACTACGTTTTTCTTAAAAATGTTAAAAGTGGTATGTTAAAGTGGTATGTATAACATTTTTGCTATGCAAATTCCAACCTTTTATCAGGTGAATTTTATTTGTCTTGACAGGATCTATCACATTTTTTTTTAATTGTACCAGTAATGCTTCTTAAATTCTCAGGATAACTATCATATTTATTACTTTACATTACATTTGTTATTTTTTTCTTCTCAAAATATATATAGTTCAAAAAATGTGTAAAAAAAATATAAATAAATAAATAAATACTCATGATAAGTGAAAAATGCTTGAATATTATTTATGACGAGTTTAACTATTTTTGTTACATTTATTAGTACTCGTACACTTTACCATAACATTTTGTATCTATAGATAAATTACTTTAATATAGTTGTGTTTATATTATGTTTGATTATATTTTTTTTTATAATTATATTTCCTCCATCAAATGTAAGGAATATATAGTATAAGATTCTATATTTTTAATTATTAAGTGATATCTAGGAATTCCCTAATAAGCATCAATAAATGAAAGTTAATGTTCTGCTTTTTCTCTTCTTTCATTTACAACTAAAATTAGTTTATGTATCTTGCTTGCAGTGACTGGAAAACTGTGGCCAAAGTTGTATGAAATCAAGGTTTCACCTATAAAGAAACCGATTGAGGAAGGGATTATTGAGCAACTTTGCTTGCATGGGCTTACCCAGCCCAAAGAAAAGGTGGTGAATCTCGGCAGGAAATTACGGGCTTAAGTAGACCCAATGGGAGGTCGAGACACTTTAATTGAAGGCATCAAAATGAATATTAAAAAAATTGGCCCATTAAAAGTATTAAACATTAATTTTGTAAAATGAATGCAATGATAGAATATTATTAATAATATTTGCGGTTATTGTCAATTTTTTTTCAAATACTCTATTTGAAATTAACTAGGAGTTTAGTTTCTATCATGTACATGATTAATTTTTATTTTATATAACAAAAAGATAAATAAATAAATAGTTTTTACATATTATCTTTTGGTGTATAAATACTTTCTACATATAAAAACTACTATTTTATTTTGTACATTGCTCATGATATATATATATATATATTCTTTTATTTTCTTTTTATTACTATGTAACCAACATTCTGGTTCATTGTCCTTTTCGTTGTGTCATCTT